AATAGCTTTATATGGCATCAGTTCCCTTATATTTATTTAACAATAATATAAGGTGATTGCTATTTATTATCTTTATACTTATGGTTCATTTTAACTATGGTTAGCAGTTTGACTGTTGAAATTATGACTCTAGATTGGGGTTTGGATCCCTGCTCAGGTATTGATGCCCACCTTGGGAAAGTCACATTTTCTCAGCCTCAAAAAAAAAAGGCAAGAGTAACCTCCCTCTGAATAAATTCTGCCAAGACAACCCTGTGATAGTCACCACAGGGTCACCCTAAGTTGAGAATGAATTAAGAACACAAAACAATTTCAAGCAATCAAAAATAAAGCCATGTGTTCAAATCCTGTTTTTAAGTAACCAAAGTTAGAATAGAACACATTTTAGTTCAAAATGAATTGCCTCAATGCTTTCTACACTACAGTTCCTTCTTGTAAATTTTAAACCATGGTTTCATGTTTTCCATTGACTTTAGTATTTCAGTCACTGTTCACTTTGCTTTAATAGGCCATAAGCACACATTACATTTTCTAGCTGGCTCCCCAGGTGCACAGAACTAGTTTCGAAGGTTGTCCATTTCCAGTTTCATGCCTCCTGGATAAAACTTTAATCATGAAGAGGAATGTAAAGAATATTTTATTTACACAATTTCTCATCCTTGATCAGAAAAAGTGTTTTAACACATCAAGAAATGCCATCAATTGGTTTTGCTGACATTATGTTAATAAATTATAATTGGAGACATAGGAGTTAACACTATCTGAACTAATTGTTTTTGTGTTGTTGAGGGCTTTCATGGCCAGAATCATTAGGTTGCTGTGAGTATTCTGGGCTGTATGACCATGTTCCAGAAGCATTCTCTCCTGATGTTTCACCCACATCTGTAGCATGCATCCTCAGAAATTGTGAAGTCTTGTTTTTGGTTGTTGAAGACATCAGAATTTTGTACTGACAATTCAAGAACTAAAATCCACATCTACACAGAAGCTTTATCTTGTGAACAACACATCTTCCCAAAAACAACAATTTATGTGTTGTCAAATAACAAGTTGATGAGAAAGAATGTATCTGGCTATTTTCTTTTAGCTGGACACACTACAAGGACATCACTTTCATGTTCTGAGGACCCTGGAGATATTTGCAGATACATGTCACAGTGCATGCCACTACATGAAAATAACTGTATGCATACCTGTTCATTCTCCTGCTCTCTAACAACACAAAAGTGCTGTGGTTTGGTGTGGGGCTGTTGGTCTAAATCAGTGGTTCTCAACCTGTGGGTCCCCAGATATTTTGGTCTACAAATCCCAACCAGTTTACCAGCTGCTAGTATTTCAGGGAGTTGAAGGCCAAAACATCTGGGGACCCACAGGTTGAGAACCACAGACAGGCAAGCATCCGTATGTATATGAGATATATACAATGACTCAGATGTTACATTGGGAATATATATATATATATATTCCCAATGTAACATCTGAGTCATTGTCAGCTATTGGGAAAAAATTCATGAATGAATGACAGTGACAAAAATCTTATTTTTGGTTCTATGCTTTTTAGGTATAACAAAGTATTTTAGGTATAACAAGCCAACTGGCATTTGTATAATGCAAAATGTAATATTTTATGAGCAAAATATTTTTGTCAAACAAAGGATGTGCACAATTTTACCTTCCAAGTAAAAAAAATTGCACAAACATTCTTAATTTCACTCAATAAAAATATTTTTTTTGTTCTCATATAAGAATGAAATAAACAGAGATCACTATTTCTTGTTATGAGCATGGCATTATAGCACCCTTGTCTGTGAAGCTTATAGAGAAAACATTTCTGCACCCCAATGACAGTCTTGTCATTCTGTGTCATTCCGGAAGTGGGAACTAACAACTGAAAATGTTCTGTTTGTCAAAATGGGTTTTCCCTCCCCTTTCATATTAGCAGCTAGGCATTGCTCAAGCATATCAATGTGTACAAACTAGCAGTGAATTCATGCAAATTTATTCTGTACAACATTTGTTCCAAAATAAGTTTATTTTTCATTTGTGGTTGTTTACCTCCATTACATTCATGTTGATTTGGGTATTCTTCATCCGGCTAGATGAGAGAAGTGTTCATTGGTTTCACAGCATGCTATTAATAATTAATGTCTTTAACTAGTTTGATATTTCTACATGAAATGCTCTATTCTCAATACAAATATTCAATGGACTGATGGCTCTAAACAACCCCTCCATCAATAACTGTCAACTGTGAAAGAGTGAAGGTTCTGGTTGACTGGATAAACCTGTCAATGTGGGATGAGGGGGAAGGTAATACTGAATAGTTGCCAAAACAAGTGCCTGAGAGAAACTGCAGCTAAACTTTGCATGCCAGAGCTTGCTTGCTTCTGGTGATGCTTTCTTTTCGATCATTTAGTTCAGATATTGAAGCCGTGCAAATCATTTAGTTCAAATATTGAAGTATTACTCTCCTGGGGTTTCTTTACCCCCTCACAAAAAGTGATCACTATCTACACTTGAGGAATACGCTTTTCTTTCATCCTTGCTATGAACACATTCTGCCAGCCCAGTTCAATAAAGAGCTCAGCTCTGGAGGGTTTCCTTCTTTAAATCTACAGGAGGTGAGAAGTCTTTACTATTATCCCAGATGCTATAGGCTCTTCACACTGTCCTTCTGTTCCATTTTCTATGCATGAATATGAAAGACAGAAAAGGAATGGAGTGGCACAAAGGCACACAGAGAGAGCACTGTGCATTCTGGAAATTGTATGTTTTGGACTTTATGGCATGAGAAAGGCAAGCCGGCTTTAAAACTGGACCAACACGTTTGGTGACTCTCCCTATTGAACTATGTCATGTGCATCCCACTGTGCATCCGCCTCACCATGGCTAACTCATCCCTCGCTATTGATGAGCAAAATGCATCAATAGTTCACAATCATACAACTTTCCTTTCTGCAATGGGTCTATTCTGCTTTTGTGCCAGCAATAAAGTGATGTCTGGGTGAGATTCTCCTCCTTTTCCATACTCTCCTTTTGTTGAGTTGTCTGTTTTCCCTTTTTATTGCTGAAATTGCTCTCAAAATAAAAATAATACCTTTGAGGTAAAGTGCCACGGAGCATCTACTGCCACCATTTTCCCATCCATTCAGAAAGGTCAGGAATGATGCTGCGGTGGAGAGAGTAGATGGGGGTCTGTGCTTCTTTTGGGTTCTCCCAAGATGGACTAAGCACTTGCTCTTCTCTACACAGAACTCAGATAAGTTTTAAGGTACAGAACCACGGATAAATCAAACACTAGGTTTCCTGCATTGATTTCTTTACTATAATTTCTGAACTTATATACCTGCGTATGTACAGTAATTAACATCAAATGTATGTTTTCTTCTTAGCCTCAAACACTGAAGAACATGGAAGAGGAAATGGAATGAAGAAGGAATTGTTTACATTTTCCAATCCAAATGGTCTCCATTAGCTATTTAATGACCCTTCACGTTGACTTGTGCATTAAGCCATGCAAATTAAAAGGAAAATATGTTCATTGCCAGCAAAAAAGCAAAATCTATCCCATTTTAGCTGAAGAGAAGCTTGTTTGTGGCCCAGAGCTAATGAGATCATTAGGATGAAGTCAACAGTTATAGTGTTTTGAATCATTACTAGTATTTTTCTTTTTAAAGTTTCAGTTCCTAGCTGTAGAATAAAATTTAGCAGATGTCTCCAGTGCTTGGCCTGTGGCCACTTCCTAGTTCTCAGAGCAACAGGAACACTTACTGTTTGCAACTAGCAGCAAGTATTTATGTGTAGCCATAGAAGCCACACCTAAATTCTTGATATCCCCAAAACACTTGTTAAATTTAATGGACATTTTTTGTAGTTGAGTACATTCAGGATTTGGATTATTGCTTTTTCTATATGAAGAAAAGAAATTTAAAGTCAAACTATGGATAGCATTGTTGTCAGGTGCTTGCTTATATCACAGTCTTTAAACGCTTCCTTTAGCACTTCTACACTGCTATATACGAGATTATCAAAGCAGATAATCCACATCATCTGCTTTGAACTGGATTATATGAGTCTACCCTGGCATATAATCCAGTTCAAAGCAGATAATCTGGTTTTTATATGGCAGTGTAGAAAGGTCCTGAGTTTCAGTGGAAATTATATTCAAGAAACTAGAGGCTTCATGTTTTACAACAGTGTAGAGCAGCTTCCTAGCATTGAAGGATCCACTGGCAACCATTCAGGGATACATTACGATCACGGTTGCTGCCACCACTGCATTCATTTGGAGGCCACTGCAAAATGGACTTTGGCAGCTTCTTCAGTGTGCAAGAACATGGTAGTGCATACATACACACATATTAGTCATATGAAAAAGCAGGGCAAAGTACCCTCTTGTTTGTGGAATTGGCAAAATTAGAAGTGGGATGGTGATTTCAGTGTCTGGGAGTGTGGTAATGGGAGGTAGTATCACTGATTCCCTAGTGGTAGCAGCATCTGGAAGCCACCAAAAAGCTAAGGCCACATGTTGGCCTCCTTTTCACAGGAATTCCCACATGTGTGCCAGGATATTTATGCATGGTGGTTTGCCATACATCTTTGTACCTCCACACAGTGAAACACTGATAGGTCTCTTCTTGTCAATTGCCATCAAGTCAATTTTGACTTAAGGCAATTCTGTAAACTCTGTTATTGACAGCCTTGCTTTTGTCTTGCAAACACAAAGCAGTGGCTTCCTTGAATGAGTCTATCAAGCTGTGGACTTCCTCTTTTTATGCAACCTTTTTACCAATGCAACCTCTTTTCTAATAAGCCTTGTTTTTTTCATTGTATTTTCAAATCATGAGAGTCTCAGCTTAGTCATTTTGGCTTCAGTGGAGAGATCAAGCTTGATTTGTTCTAGGACTCATTTATTTGTCTTTTTGGCAGAACTCTTCCCAGCACCACCTTTCAAATGTAATGATTCTCTTCAACAGAAAGGAAGAAACCATGAAAATGAACAAAATCTGGCTACCAGTATTAAAAAATTCTAAAATTGCAACAGCAAAAACAGCAGAGAGAAAAACAGGCAGGGACATCTAATCACCCTTCAAGAAGAGTTTGCTCCAGGCACAGTCAGCCCATTGTATGCTAATCAAGGTGGTCAGTTGAAAGATTCACACCTAGCCCAACTTACAAAAGCCTTTTGTCTCACCCTGGTCATTCCACAGATATATAAACCCCTTTTTCCCAGCTCCAGCAGACCTCTGAGGAAGCTTGCCATAGATGCAGGCGAAACGTCAGGAGAAATGCCTCTAGAACATGGCCATATAGCCCGAAAAAACCCACAAGAACTGAGTGATTCCGGCCATGAAAGCCTTCGACAATACATTGAACATCTCTACGGGGAGAAACTGTTCCAAGACACACGGAAATTGGAGAAACTAAGGACCAGGAAAGCACATCTACTGTGCTCCCTGACTTTCCTTCTACGCTGCAGAGACACAGATACCATCCCACAATTCCTCGCAGCCAAAAGGACTTTCAAAACACCACAGGCTCACCGGATCTATGACCGCCTGGAACGCAACCTCTTAAGAGAGAGAATCCACACCATCCGCAAAGAACTCGCAAACACAGACAAGGAACTGCTGCATCTCCATATCAATATCAGCCAGAAGATGAATTCCCAGGACTGGGACAAAATAGACAATCTCACTTACAGGAAAATGGAGAAAAACATGGTTGTCCACACCAACAGACAAAAACAAAAATTCCACAAACGACAAAAGCAACAGCCGAAACCAGAACTGGATACATCACGGACCATCATCAACCTGACAGACAGACAACTCTCTGAAGACCAAGTATCCATACTAGCGAAAGGAGGAAACTTTGCTGTAACCGCCACCAGGATCCCAGTAGAAAACATCATTGCCAATGTCGAATCAGCAATTTATCGCCTCCCAGAGGAAGAAGCAGAAGAAGTACGAGCGGAAGCAGCAAGGATCCTGAAAAAGGCAAAACTTCCCTCCAGTAACATTACTAGGAAGGAAAGACAAGCCATCAGAGACCTAAATTCAGATCCTGATATCCTCATTCTGCCAGCAGACAAGGGGAATGCCACAGTCATCATGCATACAGAGCAATACAAGGAGAAGATCAGAAAACTCCTGGACCCTACTATATACAGAAAACTTAAGCAAGACCCAACTTCCAAAATAACCAGAAAAACCAACACTCTAATTAAAAACTCCTCAATCAACTTCGACATACGACAGCAGCTATGTAAATCGGAAGCCCTTCCACCCAGGCTTTATGGACTCCCCAAAATCCATAAGGACTCCACCCCACTCAGACCAATCGTGAGTGCCATTGGGTCCCCCACATATGACTTAGCCAAATTTCTTGCTGCACAGTTACAAAGCCACATTGGGCTCACAACACACTACATCAAGGACTCAGCCCACTTCATTGAAAAAATCAGCAATCTCAAGCTAAATACAAATGACAAACTGATCAGCTTCGATGTGGTGTCTCTATTTACCATGGTCCCAGTTGCAGACACCATGGCACTCATCAACCAGAGGTTCCCAGAAGACATCACGGCGCTGTTTCACCATTGCCTCACCACCAGCTATTTTCAGTGGGACAATGAATTCTATGAACAGAAAGATGGAGTAGCTATGGGGAGCCCTCTCAGCCCAGTCATAGCTAACTTCTACATGGAACACTTTGAAAAACAAGCTCTTGAAACAGCAACCAAAAAGCCCACTATATGGTTCAGATATGTGGATGACACTTTCACCATTTGGAGCCATGGAGAAGAAGAACTCAACAGGTTCCTGGAACATCTTAACAGCATCCACCCAAACATCCAGTTCACTATGGAAAAAGAAAAGGAGGGAAGACTGCCTTTTCTAGATGTCCTAGTCATCCGCAAACCAGATCAACAATTGGGTCACACCGTTTACAGAAAACCCACACACACAGATAGATATCTACATAAAAACTCCAACCATCACCCAAGTCAAAAAAGAAGCACCATTAAAGCCTTGGCAGACCGTGCAAAAAGAATCTGTGAACCCCACCTCCTCCAAGATGAACTGAACCACCTCAACTGGGCTTTACAGGCCAATGGATACTCCACCTCAGACATCAGAAGAGCTGCAAGACCAAGAACAAGCCACGAGATCCACCCAGAGGAAAACACCCAGAAGGAAAGTGTTCCTGCCAGACATCAAGGAAACCACTGATCGCATAGGGAAGGTGATGAGGAAACACAACATACAAACAATTTACAAACCCACCAAGAAAATCCAACAAATGCTACGTTCAGCAAAGGACAAGAGGGATCCTCTCACCTCTGCAGGAGTCTACCATATACCATGCAGCTGTGGACAAGTCTACATAGGGACCACCAAACGCAGCATTGCCCAAACATGAATCAAGGAACATGAAAGGCACTGCAGACTAATTCAACCAGAGCAGAGCCCCTGATGAACCAACTTGGACACAGCATATTACACAGAAATGCTGGACCACTCTCACAACCACCATGTCAGACTACACAGAGAAGCCATTGAAATCCACAAGCATGTGGACAATTTCAACAGAAAGGAGGAAACCGTGAAAATGAACAAAATCTGGCTACCAGTATTAAAAAACTCTAAAATTACAACAGCACAACAACAGAGAGGAAACAAACAAGGACATCTAATCACCTCTCAACAAAAGTTTGCTCCAGGCACAGTCAGGCCATTGTATGCTAATCAAGGTGTTCAGTTGAAACATTCACACCTAGCTCCAGCAGACAAGAGTCCTTTGTCTCACCCTGGTCATTCCACAGATATATAAACCCCTTTTTCCCAGCTCCAGCAGACCTCCCTGAGGAAGCTTGCCATAGTTGCAGGCGAAACGTCAGGAGAAATGCCTCTAGAACATGGCCATATAGCCCGAAAAAACCCACAAGAACTGAGGGATTCTCTTCTTAATTGTGATTGCTTGTTTCATTGTTCAGCTTTCAAACCATACACAGAAATCAGAAATTCAATGACATGGGCAATCTTGACTTTGGAAATAGAGGATCATGCCTTGTTCCTTCATAACTACCCTTCCAAGTTATAGGTAAAGTAAAGGTTTCCCCTTGAAATTAAGTCTAGCCATGTATGATTCTGGGAGGTGGTGTTCATCACCATTTCTAAGCTGAAGACCTGACATTGTCCATAGACACCTCTAAGGTCATGTGGCTGGCATAACTGCATGGAGTGCCATTACCTTCCCACCAGATTGATACCTATTGATCTACTCACATTTGCATGTTTTTGAACTGCTAGGTTGACAGAAGCTGGGCCAAACAGAGGGAGCTCTCCCCACCCTCCAGATTCGAACCTCCAACCTTTTGGTCGGCAAGTTCAGCAGCTCAGTGATTTAAACCACTACACCAAGTCATAGTCTTCTAATTCCTTGATAGCAGCCTCTATCGGTTTAATGTCTAAAACCTCAGGTAGTCTGTGTCTGGTAAAAAAGAAAACAGATGTTTCAGACAGATGTTTGCATTCTTTTGCATTCATTTATTTCAATCTGCCTTTCAAACAGGCTCTAAACTGCTCTTTATTTTTTGTTTATAAAACATATGATACAATTTAATATCTTCATCTGGTTTTCAAATATTTATTTGTTCCCGAAGAAAGAAAGTGGCTTTTTTTTACCACACAATAGTTTTTATGTGTCTTTTCTGCCCCCTTTTTTTGAACGAATGCAATTTTATTATTCCATGTGCCGATCACCATCTTTTGCTTTGACAGTTATATATCAGTGAGCACATAAAAACACTGGCAGTCATTCTTACTATGCCACCTCAAAGACAATTTAATATTCAGCACAGGTCTAGAATAAAACTGTTTTATATGTTGTCATAGGAGAAGAAAATACAGCGTTGTAAATTATATATACGTTCCATGTGTCAGTTCCCTAAAGAAGACCCACAATATAAGAGGTTGTTAGCTTTATTTGTATTACAACAATAGTTAGAGATAGTAGAGTTCTGTATTGGATAAGCATCATCCAAAGGGAGAGGCAAAGAAACCAAGGGAGATTGAATACTTGTTGAGAACACAATAATTGGTGATTGGATATTCTCAGAGTTGAAGATTATTATTTAATGTAACTTGAGCAGAAATAAACAAGAGGCATTTCTGTTTAGCTGATATTTTGAGTGGCATTCACCAAGAGCAAAGAATCAAGCCAGCATTACATAAAATAAAATGAAATAAAGTAAAATAAAATAGTCCTTAGCTTAACTAAGGACATATGTACACTGAGCAGTTTAGCCCACCAAACTACTTGTCTTTTGGCATTTTTACAATTCTCACAGTATTTGTTTAAAAAGATAGAGTGGCCACATTTTTTATCAGCTATTCCACTTTTTTTGGTTATTAAAATGACAAAGAAACAATAAAAATACCACTCTTGTCTTATCAGAAGCCTTTGTGTTAGTGAAAAATGAACAAAGCGGGGCTGTAATATGCTATGCTTTAGGGAGATCTAATATTTGGTTTTGTCAAAGAGTGGGACAAGTTGACATCGATTCATGAATGAAATCTAATGTAAGAAATATTGGCTGAGTGGTTACACATGCATAACAGAGTTGTGCATTTGTGACTGCTTTGCATTCATAATCCCTGCATATACCTTTTTGAGCAATATATAGGTCTAACCCTAATTCTTCTTTACCATCCAGCAGCTTCTGTAATTGATGAAGTTCAGTTCCTATATCACGAAGCATCTGACTAACATTCTCATTCCACTCTATATGAGCAATTTTCTCTTCATGGAAGAATTGCAAGAGGAACCCAGTTTCTGCCTGTCACAATGAAGAATGCTTGCATGAGGGGCTTGGAACATTAGTCAGCCTTTTCTGAATGAGCAAGGAACAGATCTCCTTCAAATGCAGCTGCTGCTTACTGATAAATTGGTATGAGGAGGGAGAGGCTGCTACTTGGTTACATAGCAATATAGTGCATAGAGGATTCTGGTGTGAGATGTGTGTGTATGTGTATGTATGCATGTGTGTGTATAATGTCGGTTGATGATTGGTTGGTTGGTTTGTATCACAAAAGCTCCTACATGGTTTGATAGATCTAGACCAAATCTGACACACATACTCTTCATTATCCAACTTTCCTCTGCTCTGGATTGAGCCCAGAGCAGAGGAAAAGACAAGGAAGAAAGCAGGTTGGCTGTGGCTAGGTAAAGTGGTCCTCTGGCATGTGACAGGAAAATAAGGGGAGTGAAGAAGATTGGCTCTTGCTAGGTGACATGTGTATGAGGGGGAAGTAAGGGGAGGGAAAGAAGGAAGAGAATGGAAAGGGGAAGATGGGGAGGGAAGACAGAGAAAACAGGGAACAGAAAGGAAGGGAAAAAAGAAAATAAAGGGAAAAAGGAAGGAAGGAATGGAGACAGAAAGAGAGAGAGATAGATGGTGTATGAGGGGAAATGGAAAAAGAAAAGATAGAGCCACAAAGACTCCTTCCACATAGCTGCATAAAATCAACATTGAACTGGATTATATGGTAGTGTGAACACATAGCCCTTCCAGGGCTCTTCCACACAGCCATAGAACTCAGAATATCATGGCAGATAATCCACAATATTTGCTTTGAGCTGGAATATCTGAGTCCACACTGCCAGATAATTCTGTTCAGTTTGGATTTTATATAGGTGTGTGGAAGGGGCCCCAGAAAGGCCCTATATCCCAGGATCTGATCCTAGATTTTCTGCTTTAAACTGAATTATATGAGTCTGCACTGCCAGATAATCTTGGATAAACAGAAAACCTGGGATCAGATCCTGGGATATGGGGCTTGTCTGGAAGGGCCCTCATGTAACCCAGTTCAAAGCGGATATTGTGCATTATGTGCCTTGATATTCTGGGTTATATGGCTATGTGGAAGGGTCCAAAGAGAGCTTACCCACAATTGCCAGAGACATTGTGTTGTGGGCCTTTTCAGAGAGGGGGAAGAGAGAAAGCAAGCAGCAAGTGGCCCCTCCAACACCTAGGCAACACCAGAATAACTTACATTTGGGTTTATTACGTGAAGTTTAAGTGTATGAATAAATTACTGGTTCTGGAGTAACATTTTAGTTAGTTGTACTGTAACTCAAAGCCCAGTTTAATTAAATTGGACTTCAGATAAATTTGTATAGAATCGCATGCTACATTTCAGAAGAAATAGACACCTTACAAATTGACCTGAGCCTTTGAGGAGCTTCACAGTAATTCCACACAAACCGAATTTATCTGTATCACCATCAGATCGGAGCATAGCTACCCAGTGGATTTCTCAGTACTTCAAATGAGGAGCTGTAGACAAAAGGTGTATTTTTAGGGGGGGGGGGAATTCTAATGTGCATTTAAAGAAAAAATATGCTTGAACCCAAGAGAGAATCAATGTATAAATGGGAAGTTCATAATAAAACAATAATCAAAGATTGGTGTGGAAAGAGGAAGGACCTGACTTATGATTCAACACATATGAAGGTAACAGAGTGGAGAAATTGATAAATTTATACATTCCTACTGCCATTAATTTTTTTAATTTTAACATTGGAGATTCAGTTTTCCTATTATTTCTTTCTTTATTATATATCTTTCTCTTGCGCTATATTAGCTGAAAGGATTAACTACAAGCAGAACCAACCCTTGAGACCTTTCTGTTGTAAAGACAAATAAATACATATTCTAGCACTTTGCAGAAAAGAGTGTCCATACTATGCTTATTAATCTTGTGTGCTACTGCATTAATAAATATCAACTGACTTCCTCAACCAATTCTTTGGCAGAAAAAAATCATTAGGACCCCAGATCTGCATTATGAATTCTAGAGGCATGACAGTTTGAGGGTTCTCTAATTTCCACTTCCATCCTAAGAGGCATAATCTTTCATTTCTCCCATTTGTCTCCTACAGCCACTTTTGAAAATAATTAGTATTGGTCATTATGTCAGGATAATGCATCATTTGGAAATAGTTTGGTGCTATTGGAAAATTGCACATTTCATGACTATTACCTTGTTTTGAGGGCTCCTTGTTTTGGATATGTAAAAGCAATTTCAGCTAGTGATACCAAAGGTGATAAAAATGTAATAACAGTCGTGCAGCATCTACTATAATTTAAGAGCCTGTTCCACCAGGTTGCACTTTTCTTTAATTTTCTCACAAAGCTGTCAACCAAAACAGTCTCTTTGATCAGGGGAGAGCTCATCAAGTGACTGAGTATCACCATAAACATGCTTACATTTTCTTCCAGATGGAGATCGTGACTTTTATTCTCCTTGGATAACTTATCAAGGCCATAGTACATACTCAGACAGTATGATATATATCCTATTTGGATTTCATGCACCACCGGTTTTTTTTTACTTATTCCCAAATCAGTGTCCCTAAATTGTAGTTGGAGAGATCCATAGCTCGATTCTGAACAATGATAATTACACATGAATTGTGACATTCTAAGGCAGATTTCCAACATCGTAGTTACCAAACAGAATGCCAGCCAATGGCTTTTTAAATGCCCTCATCGAAAGACATAAGTAAAATACAACATAGGATTTAAACATTCACCTGTAATCTTCAGGTCTCTTCTGTAATATGTATATATGTGTTTGTTCACTTAAAAATGTCTCAAAGTAATAAATTGCAACAATAATCTTAGCCCAACAGCTCTTTAGGCAAGGATTGCTATAGTGCAAGTTGTCTTGTCCCAAAGTCCTTACTTTCCATATCCTTAAAATAGATATTTAAAAATGCTAATAACATGTATATGGGGAAATGTGACCTAATTCCAGAGCTTGGAACTTTAGGTTTGATAATGTTAACCATTAGAAAACTGGAAAATTAACTAACTACTATATAAATTAATAATTGAATTAGTCAACAAATGAATTGGGCTTTATGCAGTTTTTCAGGCATTCTAGGATAGAAATGTTAGAGCGCAGTTCTGATTTTGATCCTTTTGTATTTTTATGGTTCTGGTACTTCTTATCCCTAAGGACTGAGGACTTGAGAGTCAATATGCTTTGTAATGATTTAGTTTTGTACTCTGACTCTAGAGACCAGGTTTGAATCCTTACTTAGCCATGAAAACTCACTGGATAACATGGCAAGTCACGCTATCTCAGCCTCAAAGAAAGGGAGGAACAAGCTCATTCCTAACAAACATTGCCAAGAAAACCCTATGATAGGTTTGCATTGGAGTCACCAAGGTAAGGAACCATTTTAAGACACACAAGAAGAAGAACGAGGCATTGAGGAGATTAGTCACAATTTTTTGATTAGTCACAATTTTTGTGTTTCTACTTCACTAAAGATGTTTTTCATTTGCAAAGAAACTTGAGTACTGATCACTTAGGAGTGGATCGATGACAAATCAAATAGGATAGGATAGGATAGCTTTTAAAACTATTTTGGCCTTTGTGGGCTTTTAACAAGTTATGTAAATTATTCATTGCTTTTAATCTGGGATTGTTTAATTTATTCAGGTTGTTTGATCTGTTTGCTGTACTGAGATCTCTTGATAAATGGGCAAGATATAAAGATAGAAATTTAAAAAATCAATACAGATGGCATTTACACATTGGCTGCCATGTTATTAGGAAGATACACTAACCTCATTATTTGGTATTCACATTTACAATCATAGTACCATTGCCATGACCAGGGGTGCCCCCCAAAGTGACCATATAATTTAGGAAGTTGTACCAAGGGATAGATAGAGTTCTGTGGATTCCAGGCTGCAGCTGAGTGGCAGGGGAAGGCTGACCAGGTAATCCTCAGTGTCCTGTTCAGGAGTAATGCAGAATTCTGTCCCTTGTTATGGGTGGCTGGATTGTAAAGTGGGTTTGGGGGACTGAGATAGAATATAGTCATGCCATCACTGATATATGGCTCAGCCATTGTTTACAGTAATAGCATGAGGCGGGTTTGAAATTTAGTATTACTGTATATTCTACCAGATGTTAGTTCCTAAAATGCAAAATAACTGCATCATTTTCTTTTCCTTAGAGATAATTTCCATTAAATATAAAGAACACTGTTAATTTTTGGTTTTGGCAATGAAATAAGGGTCCAGTCTGCATACAATAATTTTTCTAGCACCGTGCACTTAATTTTAAAGAGTGGTTTACAAAATGCCCTGCTTGCAAATCTAACCTTTTTAGATTTTCAATTCTCTATTGCTGTGCATACCATTCCATGTAATAATCTTTGCTATGAAACCATAGTGAAAGAGAAAATTAACGTGGAAGTATTTTTCTTAGAAGGTTAAAGGCAGGCTTTCCTAATGCATTATTTAACGCTTGTTATGTAGTGCATTAAGCAGTCAGCACTGAGGGAAAAGCTTTTAAAAGTCAATGGCCCCGTTTTCTTTCTTGATAGCATTCAATCTTACCTGTGACGTTTTGGTTAAGTTAATATCAGGCAAAAAAATGAATTAAAATATTCCAGCCTAGTCAATTTATAGAAACCAATCAAGTTACATCACTGGATATGGGCAAGTGAAAGAGAGGAATACATTTAACTTAGTGGAAGTCTTTATTTAATCAACATACTCAAGAGAGCTGAAGTCAGCAGGCTAAAAAGATATAACAGACAGCAAAGGGACAGGGCCTCTACTACAATGAATGACAGTGATGGAAAGAGAAGCCATCTGTGGTCAGAAAACCACCCATTGACATTATTTCTTCTTAATTATTTCTTCTTCTTATGCACCAATGCTTACATAGCCAAAATAATACCACCGAGGAGGTGTGGAGGGGTGTATCAAGAAGAGGTCTACAAAAGCACAAAGAAGAAATTTTAATGGGAGGGAACTGTCACAATGAAAACTGGGCATTCTCAGCAGCCATGAAAACCAAGAAAATATAATGGAGAGAAATATCATGAAAAATGTATGATTTGCTGGACACGAGTCCATGGCATCATTTTATTGCAGTTACCATTTGCTTACTCCATCGATCTCATCAGATGGGCTGATTTACCCATCCTACACCACTTCTCCCCTTTCACCACAGAGCCCTTCCCATGATGCACACCAATTTCCAACTGGGCTCCAAGAGGAAAACAAGCGGCCCATGCTGCTGCTGCAATAACATGGGAGACTTCCTGTGTTGCCTTAAGAGCAATGGGGGGAAGTTGGGTGGCAATGCTTCCCCCACGGGATGGGGATCGGGGTAAGTCGCTAGAGGTGAGGTGTGGAGTGACGGGTTCTTCACTGCCCCTTTGAGCTCCCTATGGATTTGCCATGATGCATGGTGAATCCTCAGAGTAATGTGATAAGGTCATACATCTGAAGGAATGTCCATTTTTCACTTATTTTCTCCCCCTTCACGCCAATGAATTCCCATTTAACCAAAAAGGAACTGTGTCTGCAATCAAAATACCAATGAATGAAACTGAGCTGCCACTTTCCCCATGCTATTATATATAAACCATTGTTTACAGCAAATCTTGAGTACATCCTAACAATTCAGTCTTCCAGCAGATGAATGTTGATATTTGGTGAATTTAAGGGGGGGGGGGGACTGCATTTATTCCATGATATGTACTACTGAGATATGGGGGGAGGGGCATCTTCCCAGACAGTATGCACGGATATTTGTGATTCAGGAAGAATGTATTGATAAGTTCTCTGCAGTAACTGACTAGCAGATAAGGATCTCCAGTTACATTTATGTTCCTGGAACCCACTCTACCTGTTTCTTCCAGGAATTTGCTATTGCAATACAAACTATAATTGTTTCAGAAAACAGTAACAGAATGCCTCTATTTGTTTAAAAGGCTGGCAGACTGTGAAGGTAGGTTTTGAGGGAAATGTTGAATTCTTGTAAAGATGACTTCCCAGCAGTTAGGTAAATCCAGTTTAATATATTGCAACTGCTGAACAAGGTGACAGCAAAGATTTGTAACCTCAGACCTAACCTGTCTGCCTTGTGCCCTTTTTTTAAGTTATTGACTAGCTGTGTTTCTATGGATACATACAACACATTCTCACATTTTTCACATGTGCCCAAAAAGTCAGGGGCCATTTCTTTAACGAATTTGTATTTTTTATTTCCAGGGCCTCCAGAAGTTATGTTTTTGTCATCTAGCTTCCAAGAGCCACAGTTTAGGGAAACTTGCATGCTTTTCTTTGAAAATAATTTTTCCATGCTCTGTGTATTTTGGATTCAGGAAACATCACTGCAGTGGGACTGTGAAAGACAACATTTTATTTGCATTATATTGCCATTATCTTCTAAGTAAGGAAATAACATGTTTGCTTGTTTATTTTTGTTTTTCTATCAGATATTCTCGGAGCTAATCCAGGCGACAGGAATGGATCCACAACAACTGTGAAAAAGATGGACGACACAGCAACAGTGATTATAAAGTCATCTCCTAAACATAAAGCGGAAGGAGATAAGAGCAGTCAAGTGTCAAGTTCCTTGCTCTTCATGATAACAGCCACCGCAGTTGTGTGGCATTTTTTGTCATAGCTGCGTTATTCTGCAGCAACTGTGCAATTTCTGTTCACTGTCATTTATACCCACAGCCTTATTCAACTGAAACCAAGTCAAATGACTCTCTAAAATTGTGCACTCTAGTATTATGTGGTATGTTAGTATAAGAAGTGCTAAATATTAGTCAGGACTGGCTAACAGCAAGTATCTAAATATCTACATGGCGTATAGAGATTGTTGCACTGATAACATCTCATCTACTCAAGATGTAAAGAAGACGAAGACAGGAAACCTGAGTAGATTAAGTTATTGTGATAGATACAATTAAGAATGTTAAAGTTGTAAATTAATATGTCACTATTTCTCCTCTCTTTCTTCTTTCATGGGAGTTCCATTGAATAATCAGACTTCAAGTACAGTTGATTAAGTTTTATCTGTAGGGATCCACCACTACCTTCGAAGCAAAAAGGGCAGCACTCACTACAAGTTGGATAAAACTCTGAGAAATTCATTGCTTGTTTAAATCTCTTTTTCATTTTTAACGTTTAGAATGTAGAAAGCAATATACAAACCATATGCTGTGTTTAATGTATCAGTATAGTTGCCTTAACCATATAGCAACATATAAAATTACCTCTTGAGTTATTTTGGAATATCCAGAACCATTTCCGTGCCCACGGTCTTCATGCTACATGCTTAAGACTCAACTGTGTTGCAAAAATCTGAGAAATGGAAAAGTGAAAGAGGGGACTGTATTAGATTTTTGAGACAAAAGTAGTTGTTGAGCTGAAATTTAATGCCAAGATCCAATGGGGTATGACTAGAGTGAAAAATCCCACAAACATAGCTGTGCTGGATTTAACTATTGTGAATACAGTTATGTGAGGAAATTTCCACATGCAATAGATTGCGCAACAGCTGGACAATAGAAAAATGCAGGAAAAAATGTACTAGAACAATAACCATTATTGCCCCAGGGCCCTTCCACACAGCTATATAAACCAGAATATCAAGGCAGAAAATCCCACAATACCTGCTTTGAACTGGGTTATCAGAGCCTACACTGCCATATATTCCAGTTCAAAGCAGAAAATGTGGAATTTTATTCAGCTGTGTGGAAGGGGTTTCAGTGAATGATCCTTGATTCAGTTCATCATGCATGTATGGTGCATCAGTAAAGATGACAAAAGCCCTAATCCAACACTCTTGATTGGCAGCTGTGGAATTCAATCCTGTTTGAAAGAAGGGAAATGTGAGACACTTTTCAGTTCTTTAGAGCTCATCATAAATAACTAAACAACACTATTCAATCTTAGGGCCCTTCCACACAGCCCTATATCCCAGAATATCAAGGCAGAAAATCCCACAATATCTGCTTTGAACTGTGTTATCTGAGTCCACACTCAGATAATGTGGGATTTTTTGCCTTGATATTCTGTGATATAGGGCTATGTGGAAGGGCCCTTAGAGTGCCTCACTATGGGAAGGAATCCCACCTTTAACCCTTTTGCACAGATGGGGGCAGAATCTAATCCTGTTGCCAAAGGAATGTGAGTTGCCTTTGCTGAACTGGAATAAAATACACACATCTAAATAACCATCACCCCTTTTAACCCACAAGGGACACTGATGCACTGTAAATCAAGAATGTCCAGTATGACTCATAGTTGCTGGGTAGTTATGTTTTATTGTTCTGTGTCAGGAAAAAATAAACATGAAAGAAACCAAGAAGGATAAACTCTGTTATTTGCTGCTTTCTCTCTAATACAGCTCCCCCTGGCCTGGTACCTAGACTTGTATTGGCTGGGGTTGATGGGAGGTGGAGTCAGTATAACTGGAAGGCACCAGGTTAGGAGAAGGCTACTTTAATATATATTTTCTCAGTCCACCACATGTCATCTTAATGAATTGTTTTAGTTATTAAACAAAATTGATGTATTTTACAGTGTGACAAGATGTTACAAAACCACCATGAGATAGGGTAGGACTAATATATGTATTTTTGAGAGCTGTTTTTACAATGATATTGAAAATATATACACTGCAGGCTGAGTAGAACTGAGAGTTATAACAAAGGGGACTAAATCCAGCATTAGCCCTACCTAGAAATCAGCGGGAATGACATTAGTTGAAGCTATCAAATCCCATTAATTTAATTGGGTCTGTTCTCGGTAGGATTAATGTTGAATTTATTTCTCAGATTTATATTTGCTAACAAAGCCAATAATTCACAAAACGGATTCATTGTTTTCACAGTAATTAATAATACAGTGTACAGTTTTATAAGATATAATGTAAAATATTTGTCTTGGACTTGTGTGTGTGTGTGTGTGTGTGTGTGTGTGTGGGGAGGAGTATAAGAGCAATTATTTCAGCAGTTTGAGTCACATAAATGTAAATCCAGTGTAATGTATTAACTCTAGTACACAAATATATGTAGGATAAAAATATTGTATGATTAAACAACTCTTCCTTTCAAGGTGCTTCAGTTTTGATGAACGCAACATTTTTGACCTCCATGCAGTAGCCATTCACTTCAGTGAACCTTTTATATGCACATCCTTTCTATGTATTATGCTCCATTTATCCTGACTATATATGCCAACCTTTAACAATCTTGTGCTATCTTTGGACTCCAGCTCCCAGCATTACTTGCCATTGGCAATACTGGTTAGAGGGGCTCAGGGGTGTTGAAGTCCAAAGAATCATCTGCAGGTTCCAGATTTCAGAAGGCCGATACAAAGGGCAATTAATAGTTTTCTCTTTACGTGTCTTCATTTTTTAACATTTTGTTCATTAGTCAGCCAAATATAAGCACTTTTGTTCCACTGATTGTTATGAAGAGTCAAGCAATCCCATTAAAATTAGGGGAAGCTCGAAAATGCTCATCTTTGGCTTGATTGTGTAATGAAGTTGAACCCTTCATGGAGCTGAATGAAACTTTTGAAACAGTACATCTAAAAGAATTCTAAACCAGAAGACAAATCAAGTGTTTCAAAAGCTCTTGCAGCCATCTGGCCACTTTCTATGTGAAGAGGAGTAATTTTGAGTGCATAGAGTTAACAATATGGGATTTATTTTTGTTCACCCAGTTGTATGAGAGCTTTGTGAAAGGTCTTGTTCTCTAATTCACACCCAGACATATGTCCCAACAAAGAGGTTCTTTAAAAAACACCAGCTGCATTCACAGTTTAGCAACTACAATTGAAGTGGGCAGGGAAAGACATTTTGTTGAGCTATTATCATTGTTATTATCTATTTTATTTATTACATTTCTTCCACACCTTCTATCATCAGTGAGCTCAAGGTTGTGTTCTTCTCTCCTCTTCATCTTCTCAGCATTCCAGTGATGTAGGTCACTGACAGAAAAATTGAGAGCAAGAGACCACAAAAGACTAGACAGTGGGTTTTGTGGCTAAATGACCCTTTCAAGTCCCAGTCCAACACTCCCAGTCCAGGAATTCTCAGGCATTAGTCCTCCAGATGATGTAGACTTCATCTCCCAGTTCCATTCAATATAGTCAATGCAGAGAAATTCTGGAAACAAATTCAAAATACCCAGAGGACTAAAGTTGAAAACTGCTGCTTTAATCACTACTCTATACTGCCCTTAACTGATCATCAATACTGCATTATTGAATATTTATTAGATACTGTATCAAATACTGTATTGCACCTATACTGATACTGTATTAGACGTGTATCTGTGGGGTTTTTTTTTGTTTTCTTAGACAAGCGCTTTTCTTTTTCCGAACAATAATAATTAAAATTCTGTTTGTTAAAATTAGTATTGTTATCCAACTATTGGAAATTCACATTGTAAAAAAAGGAATATTTTCACTGCCTCTGTAAGACCACACTTTGGAGATAAATTTGTAATTGTTTAGCTTGTTCAAGATTGCATGTGTTGAAGGGAAGCAACAAGTGGCTTTCTCTGTATCATTGTGCGATCCCTAAAAGACAAGTGATGCAAATAAACAGGGATTTCCATTTGTCAGAAAAGATAAAAGGATGAGAGACTTAGTTTAATTCAGGTAGCTACACTACAACTAATCAGAATTCCATGGCAGTTTAATGAAATACACAGAAATGCTATTACAGAGTAATAACCAATTGTTGTATTTCTTTGTAAAATGCATTAAAATCATCATGCAGGTACATATTCTTGTATTTTTTATCACAGCACTCCAGCTTTTTAACCATTAACTAATAATTTGCAGTAGCGCCATTTGCACTGAAGGCAACTCTGTCAACTGAAAACAATCCTTTGTTGCCTGCTAAGCAATTAACATTTGCTCACTTGGGCTGTTGCAAGAGAAGGCGTAATTTGTCCACCATGACCTTTCTGCGCACTTAATTAGTAAGAGTGTGGAATGTTGCCTAAAGAACAAACATTTAATTTGGGAGTAAAGGAGAGATGGAATGTATTGTTAAATTTATACATTCTTTGCTATTGTACTCTAATAAAATGTTTTTCAGCAAGAAGATTTTTAATGGTCTATTCAGAATCGCTCTTGCCCATGCTAAGTCTTACTGATCTGTGTTTCTGACTTTCAAATGTATGTAGGAAAGTCACATGGTTAGGAATCCAGGATTTCATGTTGAGTTTGTAAGAGCCAGGTCATAGTACTGTAAACCTACCTGAATCAGTGATGTTGTGTTAAAAATTGAATAGCAGGTGTGCCCCCATTCCAACCACACCCATCAAGGAAAATCCAAAAATGCAAGCAGCTGATTGATTGATGTCAAAAAAAATAGTTTTAGCAGTTTTACTTTATGAACACATCTTTTAGAAAGCTTAATCCTCCAAACAAGACCAAAATCCCTTTCCCTCAGTACCTTGCATTGCAATAGATCTGTCTTTTGCTGGGGGAAACCAATCCTTCTCTACTACCTACAGGTGTCAATTCCCTTTTAAAGGTGAGTGCATTTATGTGTTCTGTTTTTACTTTACTCCTAGCTTCCCATGGTTGTAGAGTTGCAAGGGATACTATGACCTTAGAACTTAGTCAAATCTCTGCTGAAAACTGGAACACAAATCCAATAAACTGCCATTGGCTGATAGAGCTACAGAAACACTTTGGGTCAGGATAGCACCTATAATTTGATCATAGGGGATAGACATGACTCTTCCTTCAAGAAATATTAGTCAAACTGATACTCAACTAGAGTGAGATGAGTATTTTCCATTTGTTCCTATCCCTGAGAGATGAAAGGAGATACAAATCAATACAAGCTCTGAGCTATGATGCTAGTTCCTTTGTTTTGACATTGAGAAAATACTAATTAGAAGTATGCTTGGGAATGAATCAGTTCTTGAGGAAAGCTTGTTCATTTCTGTTCTGCTTATCCTAGTCCTTTGTTTCCATCACAATCTCTATGTGTAACTTTTTGTCTCTATCACAATCTGCACCATAATGCTTATCTAGAATCTCTTGGAGGTCATTTTGCAGTCTTTCCTCCCAATTATTTAAAGAGTGCATAACGACTTAATCAAGTCTGCCCTGATGAAAAATATATATACTTTTCTTAATTACAATGGACATTTTAATAAATATAGACATTTTGAAAATAATAATTCTCTCCTTATGTTGTTTGGTTTCTAATGCTACCTGTTCGATCTTCTCTATGCCACCATTTCAATATACACACACATACACTTACATTGGTACAATGTCTAGGAGAAGGAAGCTTCGGGAGGCTGCTGCAGGGAGGGGCAGTAAGCTTTGAGAGAGCGCCTGATCTGCCCTGGACTCTCCTAGCTGGCCCGATCCTAGCCTGACCCTCTTGGCAGAAAGGGAAGATAGTATCCTAGCAGTACTGTTAATAGAAAGATTCTGCAGACGTTCTCATACGCAATAAGAGTAGGCAACAAAATACCTTGCTCTGGTCCTGCCATATGTACCAATGTGCATGATAAAATTTAAACAGTGACAACCCAGAGAAAGAATTATAAGCCTTATAAACTTAAACATGCTACTGAAGCCTTATTTACAAGGCTACAGTTAAACATAACATGTTTAAAGAAAGACTGAAACTGCACACTAAGATCTAACCAGAATCGGGAATGAACCCATATCTGGCAATGCCCACAGAGAGAAAACACAGGGTTTTCTTTTGGCTTCAGCAGCAAGATACAAGCTGAAATAGTAATCCTTTCCAGCAGTTTAATTTTGCACACACTCCTCTAGCACAGGCATGGGCAAACTTGGGCCTTTCAGGTGTTTTGGACTTCAACTCCCAGAATTCCCAGCCAGTTTACCAGCTGTTAGGAATTGTGGAAGTCCAAAACACCTGGAGGGTCTGGTGATTGTATGATAGCTGGGTCCCAGTGCAACAAGCATTACGCTATTTCTGGAACGGTGCTTCGGGAACGCAAATTGCGGAACACAGGATGATACCACTGAAGCAATTTAACGCAAGGGGGGACACAGATAGCAGTGAAGGAATGTAACAGGTCTTTAATGAAAAATGAGAAGCAACAGTTTGGGAAACGGTTTGGGAAGACCTTAAATGGGATAGAAATCACTAATCAGACCCAAAAGAGTATTAAACGCTTCCATGTTGTTCCCAGACCACATCCACTCTGCCCACAAACTGGAGGAGGTTGGGCAATAATTCTACCTCCCTGGAAAAAAGTCATGGCCAGCTCCATTGTCTGAAACTGGTCAATAAAGTAGATGAGATGGATTTTACACCACTCCTCATATTTCTCCCCTCTTTTCTATCCTTCCTTCTAATACAACAACGAACTATTTTCCCGAGTTTGTCCCCCTACGTCTCTCAGTCTGGCCGGTCTCACTCTGCCCCCTCTCTCAACCATGTGGTCAGACACGTTTTCCCTTCCCTTATTCATAACCGCCATTACAAAATTAGCATCACTCTCACAGCACAGGGACCCAGCTATCATACTATCATCAAGGGCCCAAGTTTGCCTATGCCTGCTCTAGCTAGAAAAGAAGGGAGGAAGTCCTGATCACCATATTAAGTTGATTGCTTTCTATTTGTTTCTTTTGATAGCTGTTCAACATTATAGCCCTGTGCCATGCTTTTCAGTGCTATCTAAGAATAAGTGTTAGTATTTTTAGCCTTTTGTGTGATTCTGTGGTTTAGACAGTACACATTCTATTGTGGTATTCTAATGATTGGATTGGCAGCTTTTGCACATGACAACAGGATCAAATTTGCTCATGCATGGAGACCATGCAAATACCATTGGTATTTTTCATAGCAATGTGGATAACATTGTTGGGTTTTTCTACTACCACCTTGTGGAGTGTGATCCAACACTTGCCTGGAGATCCTAATATTTATCTCTTTAAACAGTTCTACTTCATTTCACCAGTTTCGGTTTGGAATTCAGCAAAGGTTTAACGTTATATATTTATTTATTTACCGCACTTGTACCTCTCCCTTCTCACCCCAAAGACAACTATTCAATATGACACATAAATATATTCTATTTTATTAACAACTCCTATTGATGGGAATCACAGAATTCTTGTTCAGAACCCAGATAGATAGAAAACAAACTTGGGTTGCAGTCAGAGATTTGCTGAAATGCAAGTATGCAAAAAAAAAAACTCTTTTAAAAGGGAAAGACCAGAGCAGGCATCCTCAAATTGCAGCCTTCCAGATGTTTGGCCTCCAACTCCCAGAAGTCCTAGACAGCTTGTTCAGTAGTCAGCAATTCTGCAAGTTGGAGGGCCACAGTTTGAGGATACCTGGACTAGAATTTTAGAGTCTAATCCATTGAATTAGAGCATCCACTGACTGACATGAACAGCAAATGTCTTGAACTGCCATTTGTAAAGCGAGTTAAGAAAGATGAACAAGTCTTACAATAAAGTACTGTACATCAGTCTTTTTAAAAAGTAATTTAGAAACTTCATATGAACATTTCAAAAGCACTGACAAGTTCTCCAAAATGAATACACATCCTGCAATTGTTCTACATGGTTAGGAGAAATGCTGATTAAATGTCTGTCATTCCACTTGAAAATATATCCCTTTGTCCTCAAATCACTTCTATTGTCCAAAGTGCAATGGGGTTCATCAAAGGGCAGAATTCCATATTACTCTGCAGACAGGCATGTAGCGGGGGGGGGGCTTGAGGGGCTTCAGTGCCCCCCCCCCGAAATTCTCATGGTGGTTCGCGAAAAGGCCTTACTGGTGCATTATTTAAACTGTTATGTTTATTCATATCATGATCTGATCACCATACTCAATATATCCCATATGCATGGGGGGTATTGGGGTAACTATACAAAAGGTTTGCTAGGGTAGACCCTCTTTCACTCAGACTCAGCCCCCCCCCCCCCCGAATCAAAATCCCCCCTGAAAAAAAACTCCCCCCCCCCCAAATCGAAATCCTGGCTATGGGCCTGTCTGTAAAAGCAAATTGTTTGAGCCTCTCCTACCTTGTCTATTCTTCCACAATACATTTTCCCATATGGACAACATTCTTGGCATTGTTTGGCAACACATGTCCTACTGCTGATGTGTAATTTGAAGGGTATGTGAACATAATCAGCATTTTGGTGTATGAGCAGAGCTCCAAATGCAACACTGTTCTAGTAGCTTTCCATCCATCAGAGCTATGGGACTTTCCTTCACCTCTTATTGCTCTCTGTTTTGTTGGACAGGATGGCCCTTGTAGTCTCTTCCAAATCTATGATTCTATGATTTGTGTTAAAACCTTCTTCAGAGGATTTCCTGGCATTTTAAATGATATTTGAGGGAGCAGAAATTGCTAACCTCCAATTCCACTAATAGATCCAAACCAGTCAGTGAAACAAAACCAGTGGATTGTGGATTGTGACCATTCATAAACATTTGGGGGACTAAAAGCCTGTAAAAGAAATCAGGATTTCATTTCAAATCATATTCTGGATTTTCTGATTTCTGAAACAACTCTTCATAGAAATTAATTTAGTTGCTGGGTTGTTGTAGGTTTTTCAGGCTATAATGTTCTAGAAACATTCTCTCCTGACATTTTGCCTGCATCTGTGGCAAGCATCCTCAGAGGTTGTGAGGTCTGTTGGAACTAGGAAAATTGGGGTTTATATCTCTGTGGAATGTTCAGGGTGGGAGAAAGAGCTCGTTGTATAAGGTCTGTTTTCTTCAAGAATAAATATGCAGGAATAAAAAATGTTCAACCTCAGAGAAGGGCCTCTCTCAAATTCTTGCCAGGTGTACATGCAAGGGTGGTGGGTGGTGAGACAAGGACCTCACTAGCAGACCTCAAAAAAATCATATGGAAAAATACAATCCTTCAGTAACATGGCCCATCTAGCTCTTGTGGCCTCTACTCTAGCTGGTAGCAATTCTCTGATGTTTCAGACTTTTCCAGACCTACATGGAGATGTCAGAAACTGAAATAACAGATCTTTCTTTGTGCTTGTGTACAGATCCAGGATGCAGAACCTAGACAACAAATACAGAAACATTTGGCAGGTTTTGTGATACTGAGATCAACCAGAAGTTGTTGGTGTTTTTCTTGTATGACTCAACTCTTGACTCTGTGGGTTCTTCAGTTACTCTTTCCCCCCATGATGTTTCATTTATACAAAATATTTTCAGCCATACTACATAAAGCTTTGCATAGTGGCACTAGGAATAAATTTTGTAGCTGCAATGTATCTCTAATGGCTGATTATTTTCCCAGTGGCTGATCATTCCTTAGATGTAAAACTCTTAGCTCACTGCCTACGCAGAATAGACCCTGTGGATTAGCTTGGACCGGGGAGATTTCATGACCTAAATCAAAAGATACGTGCATAGCATTTCTCCCCTGCTTAGGGAAGAAGAATGCTTGATCTACAAACTGCTACCTCAGAAAGACATTTTAAATGGAAGGTTCTGCATTTATCCCCTAATTAAGTGGCTGTCACAATCTTTGGAACTCTCTCACTATGAAATTTAGATTCTCTTCACTTCAAAAGATCTATTCCCACTTGCCTTGCTATCCTAAGAGTCATAGCTTGTTTCTTTATATTCCACATTAGGAACTTGATTTTAATAATTGTGCTTTTTTATGTTCTGCTCCTGTGTTCCCTCCCTCCCAATTTGGTATTGATAGTTCTAGCTTTAAGCAGACTTCAAAGAATACTCGAAAGCCAGCGCACCTGGTTCAAGGTTACTAAAGGGTGATGTCTCAGACACATTGTGAATTCACACTCATTCTGAGCATACAGAAACAGAAGATGTTTCTGAACTTTAGGAGAAACGTCCTGGGGGATTGGTCCAAATGAACCACACTGACATAGTTATTGGAGGGGGTGGGGCAGGTTTTCCTATATGGAATAATAAAAACCATGTGCTGGGGAATAGCAAATATTGCTGTAAAGCCTGTAATAGAAAATAAATCTATCAATAACTGATAAGTAATCCAATACATGTTAAATAAAACAGATGCATAAAATATCATCTGGCATTCAGTTCTGCAGTTACAGATTTGTAATGTATAGGTATGGATTTGTAACTGCTCTATATTCAGTAAGGTTATGTCATCTTATTGCCCCTGGGGCACCTAAGCACTTGGCTGCATTGGGTGAAGGAACTGCCAGTTGGGATACA